CCAGCTACAATGACAGACAACAAATATTACATTTATAGTATTACAGCTAAAACCGTTTTTGACGCCGCCACCGCAGTTTGTCCTTCATGAGCCTTCGTAGACAAGATGGTGGTGCAAGATTGCGGCTGCCTGTGTGGCGACCCGCGACCATGGAGATATAAACAGCTTTTTTTAAGGTAAAAATAATAAAACAAGGTCTTTGTCTGCAATGATTAGACATGTTTTTTATTATTATCAACAGTGAACATTCATTCATTCATTCATTCGTTTCTGTAGGCTGACTCTTACAGGTCTCTGCAGTAAACAGATGGAGTGTCTTGGCTGTGTGGGCGGAGTTTCTCCTAACCATGATTGGTCAGACTGAATTGTTTTGTGAGTGAAGTTAAAAGATGAAGTAATGTAAACGTAAAATTATTGTGAACATGTAAATACGATTTATTAACTTCAAATTTAATGTGATTAGCACCTTCCTGTCTCAAGTTGACTGAAATTACAATTTAAAAGTGCTGGGCATAAATGATTTTTCAGAATTTGTATTAATCTCAAGATATTTTTGCCATTAGTCTGGATTAATCTCTTTTTAAAAAATGATTACATTACTATGGTTGAATGCGCTGTTGAAATACACTCCATGTGTAACACACTATGTACATTTTTCTTTTATTGTTTTTGTCATTGCATCTTTCGTTCCTCCTGTCCTCATTTTCAATTATAATTAAAATTCTTTGAATTCTTGATTGATCTCATTATTATAAAAAAAAAATTATATTACGGCTCAAAGATGTTTTGAGCATTTTTCAGGTACTGCTTTATATACTGTATATATAAAGGTGAATTGCATTTTTTTTAAAACTTTAAACAAACAAGGCAAACAAGCCGGTTTAACTTTTTTCTTTAATTTCTGTCACACGCTGGTCAGCTTCATCTGCAGGACCCTCCTCTGTTTATTACAGTGATTTTAAATTGAAAGGATATTTCAGGATCAAACTCCTCTGGCAGTAAAACAGTTCAGCGTTATGGCACTTCCAGAGAACTATGGGGTTATAAAATTAAAATGATCTGAAGAATATGGTGACTTCCACCATGTTTCTCTCCAAGTCCTGGCTCAGGTTCATGTGAGCGGCTGCACGTTGCCATTGGGTTTGTGTGTTCATAAGTGACCGGAGATAATATAAAGAAAGAAATAACTATGTTAAAGCATGTTAAAAAATTATATCTGTTAAGCATCAGCTGTGTTAATGTTATAATAATGTGTTAATATGCCCAGCACTAACATTTATATACGGGTGCTTTCTGACCATTTTGAACAGGTTACATGTCCCTCCATCCAAGCAAATCATTGTGGCTTCTTTAAACCCAACCTAAAATTGTCAATCCAACCAATCACATCTTTCTCAAACTCCTCCCACACAACAAGAAACACCCTTCTCACCCTAAAATTAGCCCCTAACACATCAGTGGTGTTCCACTGTATCAGGAGGGCTTTGGTCCCCAAAACAACTACTGGTCCCGACAGGGTGGGTCTATGTACCAGAAAAGGTCCTAAAAAGTTAATAAAACTCGCACACACACACACACACACACACACACACACACACACACACACACAAATACCCTCGCTGTGGTTTAAATGTGTCCGATAAAAGAAGCAGAGGATGAGGACAGCTCTGCCACACGGTGGAGCACAGCCTACAATCCAACTTTAGATTATTCTTCCATTATTGTTCAACACCCCCTCCCCTTTATATAAATGGAGAAACAAAGTTTTCCAATTCCCAGGAAACAGTGTATCACCTTCCATCTTCAGCTCCACTCTTCTTGTTTTATTTCAAATGAACAAGTAGCTGCACACTCCTTATAAATTATTGTTTTTTTAATCCTCAGAACTTTTGTCGCCCTGGCAGAAAGCAGAAATGCCACTTTAGGCTGAGCGCCATGATCGTGGCCAACGTGAGCCTGAGCGGCTGCGCGGAGCTCAGCCTCTCTCTGTGCGCCGGAGCCGCAGCCGGGCCGCCGCAGGAGGGGGGCGCCTCGCACCGGACCACCCTCAGCCGGACGGGACACGTGGTGGTGGCCGTGTGCCTGGGCTTCATCGGCACGTTCGGGCTCGTGAACAACCTGCTGGTGCTCGTGCTGTTCTGCCGCTACAAGCTGCTGCGGTCCCCCATCAACCTGCTGCTGATGAACATCTCTGTCAGCGACCTGCTCGTCTGCGTCCTGGGCACGCCGTTCAGCTTCGCCGCCAGCACGCAGGGACGCTGGCTCATAGGGGAGGACGGCTGCGTGTGGTACGGATTCGCCAACTCCCTCTGTGGTGAGTAGAGCCGCGGGAGCTGAGGGGCTACAGGCTGCTGTTTGTCCCGCTGGAGGCGGAGGATGATTTGTGAGGTCAAACCTCCAGATAAAAAACTAAAAGACTGACTGCTCTGAACCCTCCTTTACATCATCCATTCAAATCTATTTTTTTCTCTCATTTCTATGATTTTAACCATCCTGCAGTTTCCTAAAACAGATGTGCTGGATATTGATTCCATCTCATCCCTGCTGTTTGAGCATTAACAGAGGATAAATGGTTTCAGCTCCACACGGAGCTGCGCTACAAGCTGACTCCTGCTGCAGGTTTATATTCTACAGAAAACTGATATTCAGTCCTGACTTCAGTCTGATCAAAACTCTGAATTAACAGGATCTTATTGTTGGAGCTGAGAGGATTTTAATTTTTTATTTTTTTTTCAACTAAATGAAAAGTGTCCACACCTTAAATGTTAATATAAAGATGATCACAACTCATTAGGTTTTATAATTTTCACATGAAACAAATATAGTTTAATGAAATTACATATATACTGTCTATAAATCAGCTCTAGCATTTTTTAAAAAAATTTTCTTCATGCATTATTTTTACTAAGATCAAATCTGCGAAGACACAAAACAAAATAATGTGTAAAAAAAATCAGATTCGTAAATCTTTTATTTTTTAAGTTTTGGAAAATTACAAGTATTTCCACTTTTAATTATTAAAACAAACCTTTGCATCTCAACAAATGAATTCATTAAAGATGATAAATGCTGAAGGGCTGCTAATAAAAACAACTTTTAAAAAGTTTATATCAAAAATCAACAACACTTTTAATTCAGTATCTGAAAGAAAACTTGTCAGATTTTTCAGAATGACTCGTTTTTACGTCGTTGGCTTAAAACAGATTTGTTTTACTTTTTGTAAACGTGCATCAGATGTGTTTAAAAAGCTTTGATTCTCTAAGAGAAATAAGGTTTTGATTGACGTAAAGAACAAAGTTTAAACTAAATCGTTTTTCTTGCATTTTTAGTAAATGTTTAGCAGAAAACCGAACAATAGACCTGCTGAAACAAACTTTTCCTTGTTATATACAGTATACATAAAAAAACTAAAAAAGCCACACGTGGCTACATCACTGAAAAGCCCTGTGAATCTTTACCCATAGAATATCAGTGCAAACAAGATATATTCACTGATATTAAACAAAAAGCTTGAAATCATTTGTGAGAACTAAAGATTGATTCATAAAAACATCCCAATCAAACTGTTTTTTAACCATTTCAAACCTGACAAAGTAAACTCTTCCTTTCATTCATCTTGATGTTTGTTATTTGATTTGTTTTATTGATTTAACAGGAAAAGATTACTAAAAATCAAGCCTGACTCAGCATAATTGCTGTTTTACAGCAGGGTTCCTGTTCTGCAGCACATAAAACACTCAGAAATACAGCATCACAATCACATCATTATACACCATAGACACAAAGACATTTAATTAATAGGAATTAGAATTGTTGTAAAAACATTTGATCTCAGCCGGTTCTCCTCCGATACTCCAGCTCCTGTCATTGATTCAAAAGCTTGAGTTCAGCTGAATGCTTGAAGAGGCAACAGTTTGAAGTTTGTCAGTTCTGATTCTGAAGCAGTCATTTAATCTCTGTGACATCAGTGCAACATCCAGAGCTTGGCTCCACAAACACTTGTGCCTCGCTGCTCAAACTGCTTTTCAAAAGATGCTTGACGGGTTGAGACGTGAGGAGAAGAGCTTCGACTAATCGTGACAAAGTTTTGTTTTAAGAGGATGAAGAGATCCAGGATATACTACTTTTAAAATGTTTTAGTGTTTGTTGAAAAATTCTCAAGCCTGTATCTTCTTAAACTCTCATGTCTGGATGAAAGTACATTTTAAGGACATCTGAGCTCCTAAAAGTCTTGAAAAAAAAAAAGAAATTCACAAGATTTTCAGACACATGGAGGGGTTATGAGAAGTAATGATTTTAAAATTTCTGCATGTTGACTTTTTTTTAAACCAAGTGCAGTCAAGAGGCTCCACTTGCACACGCCACACCTCAAATCCCACTTAAAACTTAAAACAGATGTTCTCTTTCACTGAAGCTTGAAAATGATTATCCTGTGTTTACCTTCTTGAGTTTTTAGGGACAGAATTTATCAGAGTTTCTGCCATAAAACAAAAACTTCCCAGTGGTTCATGCACATGTTGGTTTATTCACTTTTATTCTGTTATCATTTTTACATTATTTACAGAAAATTCTAGTTATTTGCAAGCAGACATGATGGTAGCAGCAGTTAGCAGTAACACTTCACTTTGTGCAGGAGTTAATGAGAATTAAAATAAGTGTAAAATGACAGCAGCTTTATAATGACAGGAAGTTGATTTAAGACAGCAGCAGTCAGCTGTAATTTAAGTTCTGCTTTACATGTTAGTGAGTTGCAGTGAAATGTAATTTTGCACAAATGCTTTTGTATTTGTATATATTTTTGCACTATTATTCAGTTTTTTAAAGTGATGGGGGCAGAGAAAATTATTTTTCCTGTTTGACATTAGTTGGAGTTTTTTCTTCAGTAAAACAAAATATATTTATTTACTTAAAGGCACAGTGTGTAGGATTTGTTGTTTTCAGCGACATCTAATGGTTGAGTGGTTGAATTATCCTCCCTGGTCCTCCCCCCACCCCCACCCACCGCTTCCAAATGCAAAGGAGTTGCTACGGTGTCTCTCAGGTGTCAAAAACCTTTGGTAATTCCAACCGCGATGTCTACCAGCAGCTTCAGGGCTAGTGATGTTTCAAGTGGTAAGATTATGAGCTTTAATAAGTAAAATTATCCCAGCTACAATGACAGACAACAAATATTACATTTATAGTATTACAACTAAAACCGTTTTTGATGCCGCCACTGCAGTTTGTCCTTCATGAGCCTTCGTAGACAAGATGGCGGTGCAAGATGGCTGCTGCCTGTGTGGTGACCCGCGACCATGGAGATATAAACAGCTTTTTATAAGGTAAAAATAATAAAACAAGGTCTTTGTCTGCAATGATTAGACATGTTTTTTATTATTGTCATTAGTGACTATCTCAATTTCGGCTAAAAGAATTGACAAAATCCTACACACTGTGCCTTTAAAATGAAATGTTACTGCTTGTATGAGTGGGACTTAGATTTCACCGAATCAAATTAATAATAAAAAATCTGTTTTTAATGGAGAGTTATTTATTTAAAGTCAAATCAATAAAAAAGCTCAAACTTCCATCATTGTTTTATTGACACTGAAGAAAACAAAATTTATTGAGTGAATGTTGTGTTTTCAAACTTTTTACAGTTTTGCTGTTAATGTTTTTTTTTTAAATGTTCTGCTTTACAGTTTGATCATGTTTGATTTGTTTCCAGCTCAGCTCAGTGAAAACCTTACTGTTTCCAAGTTGAGGTGAAATATTAGGAGCTCCTCAGATCAGAGATCTCTGCCTCTGAATGGTTTCTGCAGGTTGGTCAGAGTCAGTAGAAAGAACTTCACTCTGATAAAGTTTCTTTAAAGGCCTCATCAATTTTTCACAAATGTTTTCCGTTCATTCAGTTCAATGCTTGTGACGTCCTGTCGGGTAAAGCTGGCTCTGAGTGCGGGAGCTGCTGGGAACCAATCAGAGCTCAGATCATATTTCTTCACATTCATTTGAAATGAGAAGAGTTTAGTATCTCACACAACACTGTTGTTTCTGGGTCTGTGTGTATGTTTGTCTAGTAGTAAAAACATACTATTTAGATTAACTTTTGGAGTCAATGTGATTCATCTTTTAATATTATTACTGATAATAAATCTGGTGTGGTAGCAGCTGAGACTGAGTCACAACACTGATCTGAGCTCTAAGTGATATTTACTGAAGATTTTGGCACCATGTATGTTTTTGGAAAAGTATCTCCTGAACCACTGGATCAAAAAAAAAGGTCCCAGAAAGTAATCATTAATGCACATTTACAGCTGATTAGGTTTTGAATTCAACAAAATTTAAAAACAAAGCACACAAAAATGACTTTAGCTCAATTTAGATTTTAAAATATTGAGCTAAACTTTTGTTTCAACTCCAAAATATAATTAGAATTTTGACAGATTCTGTCTGATCTTCATTCTTTGAGTGAAATCACACATAATGTTATTTTCAAGGTTTGATCAAAACAGCTACTAGTTTGTAATTACTCATTATAAATGTTCTTCCTCCAAGCATCTGGCATGAAAGGTGAAAGGTACTGTGTTCATTCAAGAAATGTGAGGCCTTTAATTGTTCATGTTTTAAACTCTTTGTTCCTCCAGTTTCACATGATTTAAAGGAGACGTGATGTTTTTAAATCCTTCTCTTTCAAATTTAAATCCTTCAGTTGGGGTCTATATACAGCAGGTAAAATAAGTCTTGAACACGTCACCATTTTTCTCAGTAAATATATTACTAGCGGTGCTAATGACATGAAATTTTCACCAGATGTCGGTAACAACCCAAGTGATCCATACATACAAAGAAATCAAACCATAAATGTCCAGAAATGAAGTTATTTGTAATAATGTGGAATGGAACAGGGAAAACATATTGAACAGGTTGGCGTTTCTGGATTGCGATGTCTTGGTTTCGGATGGAGGACGGTTGGAAACTGGCGTGTATCGTAATCCCACCCACAC